CCGACAGCGGGTGGCCGGCGTTGCGCGCCTCCGAAGGTAGCGGCGCGCCCTGGTGGAAGGCGCCGAACCTGGATCGACACGCAGGCGGCCGATGCCGATGAGCGGCGTCAGCGTGCCCTTGTAGAAAGCGAGCGCGCCCCTCGTTCCGGTAGAATGGCCGTCGCCGCCTCGAGGGCCGACGTGTGCACCGTCGACGTCTGGAGGCGGACCTTGACTATGTCGAAGGGCTGGCCGACGAGGACCCTGGGTGATGCCGCCCGCGGCGCCGGAGAAGAGATCCTTGGCCGTCTGCAGAGCACCGCCCTGTGGCTCGGGAGCCTGGTGCAGCTCGACGTCGTTCGCGGCCGTCGCCATTGTCGCTTCGTTCGTGGTCTGGGTCGATTCGATCAAGGCGAGTGCTCGGAGCTGGCGAACCCCTCGCCGACGTTGCTTGGGCGGGCGGTCAGAGGTCGTCGAAAGCGAGACGCACGGGGGGCCGGGAAAAAGTCCCGGGCGATTGTCCGCTGGTCGGAAAGCTGCAAGAAGGATCGGGAAACAGAGGGAGGAGCTCAATTGACGTCGACGTGTCACGATTGGTCTCTTTTTTTTTTCGTCGGGTTATGGGTGTTGGTGGAAGATGTGAATCAAGTGGCCGGGATCGGGGGAGGGTCCCTTATCTTTTTGGAGCACCACAACTGTGGTTACCTTCGGTGTTGGCCCATGGTGGGGTTTGCGATCCACGAAGACTATTGCGTGCTGGCGCTAGCCGTCTGGGCGCAGGGAGCCCAGGGAGCCCAGGGAGCCCACAAGATGGAGGAGAGCTTTCTCGACAACATGTCTCGCTCCCACTTCAGCGACGGAGATCAGTGTAATGACAAGTGCCCTATGGAGGCTCCGTCCTCGGCCAAGGGGGCTTCTGGGATTGTGGGATCATCCTAAATGAAAACTTCAAAACCCCGGGCCCCTTTTTGCCCGCCGCCTGCTCTGGGGCCCCGCCAAGCATCCGATGGCCCCCTTGAGGTTTCCCAAAGAACTTCTTGCTGGTTTCTGAAACCCGTCCGCAAAAACCCCCCTCAGGTTCTTCTTGGCCTTGCCAAAGGGGGCTGGCCCCCAACCTTTCCTCCCCTGGGGTCCCAGGGGAGGGCCCCCCCCCCCCCGCCGGGAAAGCCCCGGTCGGCCTCCCCCAAAAGCTTGTCGGACCGCTCGGTTCATTTCCTCCCCCCCTCAGCGGCCCAGCCGGGGCCGCGGGGGGGGGGCGCCGCCTTGGCCGACGACCAGAAGGAAGAGCCCACAGACCCAACGCCGCCAATGATGCTGCCGAAGAAGCTGACCCAGTTCTGCGGGCTGAGCGTGTTCCAGATCTGGCCAAAGTGCTGGGACCGGCGCCGTCGCCGCGAATGTCGCCAATCTCGAGCGAGAGCAATTCGTTCTTGATGATGAGGAGATTCTTGATCATGAAGAGGTCGGCGTCGGTCCCGTTCTTGATGTACCTGATGCGCGCCTCGGCCCGCTGCAGCACCTTGACGGATTCGCGGACAATGTTGAACACGACGCGGTTGTTCTTTTGCTGCGACAGGTTAGCGTCTCCTCGGGCGATGCAACCAACATGATACGTACACTGCGCTCCTTGGGCATCGTCTGGTCATACATGGCCAGAAGCCCCATGGCTTTGGTGACGGGGGCGTAGGCGTTGGATGCCGACACGCCGTCCACGACGGGCTTGATCTTCAGTCCCTCGTCGTCGAGCGCCATCTTTGTGATGGTCTTGGTCGTCTCGGCATTGAACATGTCGTCGGTGAAGACCCAGAGATGTTCCGTCAGGACCCTGGCGCTCAGCTCCCTGCACTGTTGGGAGAACGGCGACTCCTCCTCGTCGTAGTCCAGGACGAGATACTCGTTCATCAGCCAGGCCACAATGTTGCACACCGTGCGCAGCTCTTCCGTCTTGAGCGCGGCGCATAGGTGGCCGGAGAGGATCGCTATGTTGGCCGGGTTCACGGCACCCTTCGAGGCGGACTTGAGAGCCTGGTACGCGGACGCGGGATCAGAGCTCCACTGCAGGTCCAAGCCAAAGATTCGGTGTACGAGGCTGTTCTCGTTGTACGCCCTCTCAAACGTCTGCTTAAGGTAGTTTCGGCATCCCGTCTCCACCGAGAGGTCCTTTCGCTCCCTCGCGAACTCGGCCACGTCTCTGTCCGTCATTGGCTTCAAATCGTCGTTGCGAACTGCCAGGTATGTCGAGAACAGGTTGTTCGCCGTGTTGACATAAATGTCGTGCGCCGTGCCGGAGATTGGCTGCCCGTACTCATCAAAGACGTTGCGCATGACCTTGTGGATGTTGGGCAGCAGAGAATAGGTGTCGGCGATCATTTCGGCAAAGCGGCCGTACGCAAGAGCATGGCGGGTGGCCTCAGACTTGGACGCCGCGATGGGTTTGGCGATTTCGTCGGAGATGCTCTTGAGCCGGTTGCTGAGACCGACCTCGAGCAGATGGAGCGCTTTCGTCAGCTGGGATTCGTATCGTGCGAGGTAGGAGTCGGCGTCGCGATATGTAGGCTGTTTATGTTTGCCATGTCAGCATGCTGGTGCGTGGGGGATCCTGTGTGGCATACGTGTTTGGTCATAAAGTCGATGCATGAGTTGAGATTGTCCAGGACCTCGCCGAACACCACGTCCTCGACCAAGCGACCGGCGCCAGGCGCGTTGAGCCTCCGCGTGACATTGTCCAGGTACGTGTAGAAGTACAGATCGGTGCCGACCTCGTCTGCGAGCTTTTGGAGACGCTTCTGCTCATCGATGAGGTCCTCGCACTGCGACTGGAACGAGGTGGTCTGGGTCTCGACCGCCTGGAATGAATTGGAGAGCGTCGTCAGGAGGTCGAGGGACGCGTTGGTGTCGACAATGAGGGCCTCGAGGTGGCGCTCGGTCAGATCCAGCTGGTCTTTGTAGATGCTTTCAGAATGGTTAGCCGGGCTTCTATGGGAGGGGCGGACGGGGTTGGCCCATACAGGTACTCATGCTGGCTGGCCTGCAGCAGCTCGTCATTGTACTGATCGAGAACAGGCCGTTGCGGAACGGGGATGTTGTCGACATTGGCTGCGGTCATCAGTGCCTCGAGGCTCTTGTCTTTCCTCCTCTTGCGGTCCTCCCTCTTCTTGTGCGCATCCTTGGCGAGCTGGGCGCGAACGACGTGGTAAAAGTCGGAGTAGGATGTGGCACGGCGAGCCAGCGCCGGCTCTGGCGGGTCATCGTCGTCTTCGGGGTCTTCGAGGAGCCGGCTCAGCGGCTCTGGAGCTTCAGAGGGCTGTATCGTTCCCTGGGAGGACTGTTCAGAACGGGCCGTGTCGTGATGAGCGGGAGGGGGGACAAACGTTGGGCTGCTGGAGGAGGGACTCCTTGCGCCGGTGGCCGGCATTCTTGACGGTCGAGGCAGCAGTCTTGGCGACCTCGGGCACAAAGCTGTACCAAGAGTCGTCGTACATGTTGGCAGGTTCTGCGGCGCAAACTAGACGAAAGGCAAGGCGATGCGGTCCAGGTCGGTCATCACCTGCTTCGCCCGTCGTCGTTCTGTCGGACCAGGTGTTCTTGTCGTGTCGGATCGTCCACTGTTGGTGGGGCGCTTGGGGCGTGAATC